TATTTATGGATGGGAAGGAAATAGCATCAAAATCACATGGGGCCTGCCTGGGTCACATTCAGCATAATTGGATTCACTCTGAGAAGGATGCATCTGCCTCTTATTAGCCAATCCAGAAAAATCAAAGCACTTGATATGAACCAAATTGTACCCAGAGCTCTTTTCAAAGTCAGTAATAATGTAAATCAATTTGATAAATGAGATCACTTTGATCTAAAATACATTGTAATTTTTACAAATGTGTAATGTTGCAGACATATTTATTTCCAGTTATATAAAGACCATAGATGATGAGGGTGTCATTTCTAAATCCAGAAGGAACTAGGTTTCAGAATGATATATACTTAAAATCAAAACAATATTTATAAAAACCACTCCAGAATTTTCTTTATTAAAAAAGGAAAGTGGTTTTTAAAACCAAGAAAAATATAGTAAATATAAACACTATTTTCTAGTTTCTTATCTAAATAGTCAAAGCAATAAGATACAGCTTTAATTGGTGCTGTGACTCCTTGATTGGCTGAAATTCTTTGGGAGCGGCATGCTTTGATTAAGTGGATTTTCTCTACCTTGTGGAAAATTTTTCTAGAGCATAGTTTTATCCTTTTCTTCCTTCTTATTTCCTTTCTCCCTCCTAGTTCCTCTCCTCTCGGTCTTAAAAATGAGGATAAGGGATATAAGCTAATATTTCAGCTCCTCTGGATAATCAGTCTGAACACTAAATGGGGCTGGGCCACGGTGGTGCACTGCTGCTCTGAGTGACACAGGACCGCGCAGGGGCATTTGCAGCAAAGAGCGGCAGGCTCTGACCTGATTGCACCAGGATCCCTGAAGCGATGCCGTGTTGAGAATGGATCGCAGAAAGGCAAGCATGGGAGCTGGGTCAGCAGCTCTGCACACACCCCCATGGGAGATGAGGGTGACTTGGGTGAGGTGTCGGTAGTAAATCCATGGAGTGAGGGGTCACAGTCGGGATGTATTTTGGAGGCAGAACCAAGTGATTTCTGAGAGACTGAAAGTGGGCGTGATAGGAGAGGAGCCAAGAATGACCCCAAGGTTTTCTCCTGAGCAGCTGGAAGGATGGAGTTGCCACTTTACCGAGATGAAGCCTGGAGCAGGAACAGCCTGGAGGCATAGGGAGGAGAAGGGGAAAGTTGGGCATGAAGAGTTTGTTTGGAGAGAAGTTAAGTGGTGACGCCAAGCTGTCAGTTGGGCGTATGAGATGGGGGTTTACAGGGGAGGTCCAGGCTCGAGAGGCAAATTTGGGCCATATCAGTATAAAGGTGCGATTAGCACCAGGAAGTGAGCATAACACAGAGGGCAAGGCAGAACAAGCCTTGGGCTGGGGCGGCTGTCCACATCTCCACACAGAAGAGGAGGGAGCATCACCAAGGAGACTGCTCTCACAGACCCCGGATGCTTGGACACACCTGTTAGTTTGCATTTTTGTCTCCTATTAGTAAAGTCTGGCACCGATTGCAGTGCTTGGCAGAGACGTTCAATAAATGTTTGTGGGAAGGAGGAAAGGAAGGACAGCAGGGAGGCAAGGAAGCAGGGAGGATCATGAGTTCTAGGGTGCATCCTGCAGGTAGGCTGCTAAAGCTGTATGGGAAATACTGCTGGACTGAGGTGTCAGGAACCTTGAGGCTAGGATGCCGAGTGGGTTGTCCACAAAGCCATTTATGGTCCCCAAGATGATGGCAGGATTTAGGGTGAAAGGAAAAGTGTGAGCCAGAAGACAAGGTCCTCAATGACTGAAGGGATTGAGGGGACAGTCTATAGCTGACAGCAGTGAATCCCAGACAGCACTTTGCTCAAATGGCTTGATCTCACAGGAGGAAGGGTTTCTGCAGGAGAATGCTGAGGAGGGATCTGAGGCAGCACACGGGGGAGGCAGAGGAACCACCTTCCCTTAAAAGGACTACAAATAAGGTGGCCCCTGGGGCAGAGCCTGGTTTTAATTAAGAAAGGAAAGAAAGTTTCATGCAAACAAAGTGGGGGATGCAGAAGAGTTTGATCCCGATAAATAAAGGTTCCAGAGGGCACAGGAACATAAATTTGAAGTAAGGTCAGTAGTGAAAAGAAGAATGAGGAAGAAGAAAGCATGGCACATCCTGGTTCCAAGAAGCTGCAGGATCTTGCATTTTGACTAGGGCCTTGGCAGAGGGGAGGCATGTTGGAAACATCCATCTTCCAGATTCTGGCCAGCAGAGACCAAGCATTCTGCTGGTGCTGGCAGCCTGATAAAGTTAGCAGAGTACCATCATTGCTCAGCTTTCATATAGAACATGCTTGGAAAAGTGTCCTGGTGTCTCCCTGTAGAGCTGTAGTTCAGGTGTTAAGGACAGGGTCAGTGGGCCTCAGGTTAAATCACAGCAGGCTGCAGGGACCAGCAGGCCTAAGGATTCATGTAATAAAATGGGAGGGGCTTGCAGGTGTCCTTCCTGAGAGACTGCTTCCCCCAGAAGAGTGGAGGGGACAAGCTGGGATTCTACCCTATGCAGACCTTCTCATCCCAGTGGAACCCTGGAGGCTCACCTGGTGAGCAGGACCAAAGACTCACTGAGCCAGGCTCGGGTTGGCTTGGAGAAGAGGATCCTGCTGTAGCCCTTTCCGCCTGATTATCCTCCTTTCTACTCTTCCCATGGTTGTCCTATCTCGAGCTCTTCCTGCTGAAACTGTTCACATGCCGGGCACAGTGGCAAGTAGTACTTGGGAGGCCAAGGCAGGAGGATAGCTTGAGCCCAGGAGTTCAAATCCAGCCTTCAAATCCCTGTCTGCAATAATTAAAAAAAAAAAAAATTGTCCACATGGAAATGAACCTGTTTGTCCTGATTCATGTTCACATGAAAATGAACCTGATTTCCTGCTAGATCATGAAATCCTCGAGGACAGAGAAGTGTCTTAGCCATGTTTGTATCTTCTGCACCCGGAACCTTGCCTTTATTCAGTCATCCAAGCATCTGAAGATTGGGGAAACAGGATGAAAATGGGTAAGGATTCAGAAAGTCTCTCCCTGATGACTTGGCAGCCGAGAATGTCTCTGCAAGTGTTCAAGCTGTTCCCTTTCTCTGGGCCAACTTAATGTATGGAAGACGCCAACAGCAGGCAGCACGCAGTAACTAAGCAAGGCTGGGAAGGCCTGCTCCACGCCTCCCTGGTCCATATTTAACTCAAACAAATAAACACTTAGGATCTTTTAAATTCTCCATTAGTATTTTGGTCTTGTGTTTCAAGCACTAGCCAGTGTTTGGGGTTCTCTGTCCCCACGGTGAGAATGAGCTTTGGGGCCAGCTTTCAGGCAGGCAGAGCGGAGCCCGGGGAGAGCTCTCAGCCTGGTAAAGAAGGGATGCGGGAAGGCAAGGAAGGGATGTGAAAGACGACTGTGTTCTCCTCTCAGTTTTGCCCTACTTTTAGCATCTGAACAACACACAATGATTTCTTCATGTTCCTGGTTACTTTCTCCCACAGATTCATTTCACACCCGTGGGGCTTGGTGTTTTTGGAATACCACGACTCTCACCAGGTTCACCTTTCAATGTGCACTGACAACTGCACTCTGCTTGGCCGAAATAGAATTTCGTTTCCCCGCATCGTTATCCACGCTGGCTCTAAGAAAGAATTTTAAAAACAGTCATTTACTCACCCCTTCCAGACTAGTTGCCATGGCACCCTCTGGTCAAGGGAGTTGGGTGTTCGCAAGAGGGTCTTTGGGAGCCAACGGGCTCACACTGTGCTTGGAGGGAAGAGGGGGTCACACCATCAAGGGTGAGCCCGATTAAAGGGGCAGATGGAAGGGGCTGTCGGGAGTAAGGAAGCTGCCACCTACAGGGAGAGGCCTGCGGGGCCTGGCGAGGGCAGACCTGACAGCAAGGCCGAGCAGGTGACAGCACAGGGAACCTGGCCCTCCTCCTAAAAAAGGAGATGGGCTGAATGTCACCAGTTCCAAAGGAGAACGAGACTCACAACTTCGTGACTTGGTTTGTTTGGATGTTGCCTTCTTTCTTTTTTAAGTAGTTCAAACCAGGACAGTTGCTGTCAACAAAATCGTATGAGTTATTATTATCATAATTTTAGACTTGAAAAGACACGGTCAATTTGTGATCAGAAATTAGAGCCCAGCAGCTGAGAATTAGTTCTACATACATTGGGAAGTGGCTGATGCCCTCAGTTCTAATTCCCAAAGAGAGGTCAGGACAGTGGGGACAGGTGAGCAGGGCTTCCGGAAATCAACAGCAACGGGAGAGGCAGAAAGAGATGGGTGCTTTCAAGGGTAACAGGCCAAACCCAAGAGGCTCTATTTTCTAAATTTCCAACTCACTCGAGGACAGTCAGGGAAAATATACTGGACTACTGTGACCTCATTTATGTCTAGATTCATTTGATAGCTCACACTTATGATTTTTTCTGTTATCTGCTACTTTCCTTTTTGGGCATCAATTTTTTTCTATTGAGTTATTTTGAACAGATACCTTTCTATGGCATAGGGCGTACTTTTCTTACCAGGGCACGGGACCACAAACACAAAGTAATCAGCTGTGACCAGGTCCCTTGAGGCAAGGCTTAGAGGATAGCATGGGGACACTGGTACACCAGGGTTCATCCCAGACCAGGGATATGGACTGGTCCTGCAAGCCAGAGCAGGCAAAGCATCATCCATCTAGGGAGTCAAGTAATGTCTGCAGATTGGAGGGGCTCAAGGGACCGTGTCAGTTGTTAGAGAACCCTCCACTGGCTGCCAGCACCGAGAGTCCTGAGGGAGCTGCACACATGCAGAGGACGGACCTCACGGAGCAGGCAGCACTGGTTCCCAGACAGGCAGGCCCAATCAGCCTAGGTTAAAGCCAGGCTAAGGGCTCCCTAGCCCCTCATCTTGGCCCTCTAGATTTTATTACTTTTATGGCAAAAAAAGGTTAGATTACTCCAAAGAAAAGTTTATCTACAGAAAAAGTCCTCTTCCCTCAGGCTCAGAGCAGAGCTGCCCCGCGCAGCCCACCAGCATGGAGGAGCTGGAGGCCAGTGGCAGCCGCAGGCCCATCTACCCTACCAGCCTCCAAGTCCACCATGCGGACTCCCAGCAGAAGAAAACGCAGACAGATGACCCAAAGTCAAGTCGAAAAGGCAGGACCAAAAGAGGCCAGAGCTTCAACCTCTTGGCTCTTCACCCCATGAGTTTCATGCCAATCACGGTGACCTGAGAAAGTCATTGACCTGACTCATATTGGTCCATCTTGTCCTCGGAGACAGAATAGAGAGAGAACCTCGAAGTGCTGCAGCCGGAGGTAACATGAGCAGCAGGGCTCAACCTCAGACGGTCAGATGTGCATTTTTTCTCTCCCTGTGTCCTTCATGCCTGGTCGCTGTTTTCTATGAACATTCTAATACGGAATCTCCACAGCCACCCATGCAGGATATGTTTCATCATTTTCATTTAATAGATGGAGAAATTAAGACTGAAAAGATTAAGAAATTTGCCCCAGGTCAGATGGTGTAGAATGTCTGCTCCAAAGCCCGTGTTCTCCCTTCTTCACCGTGTTTCCGAGGGTGTGTGGGCAGAGAAGAGCCAGAACTCTCTCTTTTTTTGGCAGGGGGGTTGGAGGGGTGGGCAGTCTCCCTCTGTCACCCTGGCTAGAGTGCAGTGGCATCATCCTAGCTCACAGCAACCTCAAACTCCTGGGCTCAAGTGATCATCCTGCCTCAGCCTCCCAAGTAGCTGGGACTACAGACGCATGCCACCGCACCCAACTAATTTTTCTATGTTTAGTAGAGGCGGGGTCCTGCTCTTGCTAAGGCTGGTCTTGAACTCCTGAGCTCAAGAGATCCTCCCATCTCAGCCTCACAGAGTGCTAGGATTGCAGGCATGAGCCACCACGCATGACCCCCAGAACCGGTACTTTTAAGAAGCATTTCCTACCTAAGCCAAAAATAGCCTTAGCCTTTCTTTGTCACCCAAGAACATCAGTACGAATGCCCTCCATTGAAATATGTGTTCCATTTCAGCCACACTCCTTGAAGTATGTAGGACTGTCTGCCCCTGGACCAAATGTCTCCAAATAGCTGTGCATTTACTGGTAGTTTTCCTTCCAGTACAGCTTGCCGTAGTCTGTATTTCTCAGCAGCTTCCAGGTTTTTCAGTATTTTCATACACGGCTGCTGTGAACAGGCCTGAGGATAACTGCCTTTCCTATGAGAAGTTCATGAAGCTTTTAACTGCTCAAAGACCTCTTCTCTGACTTTAGCATTCACAGCTATCCTCTAAAGAGCTGGAGTCACCAAACACCTAATTTCAGCATCACAGAGGTACTTTCTCTCAACAGCTTACTGATCAAATTGGGCTTACATATTAAACTGTATATCATTTAAATTCTGAATTTGAGGTTTGCGGAAAAGGTGCAAAGATAGTGCAGAGAGGTCCCCTATAGTCTTCCTAATGTTAACATCTTATGTAACCACGGTAGGTACATTTGCCCAGACTAAGAGATCAACACTGGTTGTATACATACTTTTAATATGCTATAGGACATGGACACTACATTATGTAATAGCTATTTTCCGATTTTCTAGGTGATCTCATTTGCATGTAATAGTCTAGAAGCCAATTTCCTCTTGATGTCTTAGATTATGAAGCTCTTTGTGAAAAAGTATTCTACTTCCTCCTTCCCCAATGAGAGGCTTATAGCTAGGGCAAGTCCAAATGTTTGGTCTTTTTCTCTTTATTTTAGAGCTGAATTAAAAGAAAGAATGAAATGCACTTACAAGAAAATAACAGCAAAGTATGTATATAATTTCACCATCACTGGTTTGACTTGTATATTCAGTTTTTAGGCTTGACTCAGGAGTTAATTCTTTTAGGCTTGACCCAGGAGTTAATTCTATCTACTTAATAATGGAAGAATAAATGTATTAGTTGTTGCTGCATTAATTTCATTTGACTCAGTGGATAAAATCCATCTTGCAATTTCTTTCTTTCTTAGATTTCAGTAAAGTGGAATATGGACATTGGGAAGTGTGCTTATTTCTAAGGAAAACGATTAGCGTAGGACTATCTTATCAGTTCTCTATTTAGCACGTGTGTAACAGCCAGATAATATAAACAAAACAAGGTGGAGCAGGAAGCAGTGAGGGGAAGAGAGAAGAAAATATTTTCATGAAAAGACATGGAGGAAACTTAAATGCATATTACTAAGAGAAAGAAGCCAATGTGGAAAGGCTCCATATTGTGCGATTCCAACTATATGACATTTTGGTAAAGACCAAACTATGCAGACGGTGAAAGGGTCAGTGGTTGCCAAAGGTTAGGGGTATGACTGGGCAGAACACAGAGGATTTTAGGGCAGCGAAACTGCTCTGCGTGTTATTATAATGGTGGATACGTGTCACTGTACATTTGTCCAAACCCATAGAATGTTCATCAAGAGTAAGCCCTAATGTAAACTATGGACTTTGAGTGATAATGACGCTATCAATGTAGGTTCGTGGATCATAACTAATGTGCCCCTCTGGTGGTGGGTGTTGATAATGGGGGGCTGTGCCTGTGTGGGGGTAGGGGGTATGTGGGATATTTCTGTTTCTTCTGTTCAATGTTTCTGTGAACCTAAAATTGGTCTAAAATATAAAATTTAATAATTTTTTTTTAAAAAAGATATTTTAAAGTTGAGTCAGAAAAGAAATCAGTTAAATGTACTTTAGAAATCCAGGTGACAGAAAACAAGGTAATAGGGAAACCAGAAGACTTCAGTATGTTAGGTTAGGACCCCTGGAACCAAATTCCCAGAGAGATTTTGGGAGGCCCTGGGCACAGCACCTTTAGGGAAATAAAGAACAGGATGGGGTAGAGAGAGGAAGTGAATTGTGATGTTGTTGCAGCAGAGCCTCAGGCCATACAATGGGCAGCTCTGCAGCTGGGATGGTCCTTTATAGTGTTCCCAAACTGAGATGGGGGCTGGACTCTGTATCCCCACATCTACCAGCCCTTGGACGCGGGCTGTCCGTGGGAGGGGGCATAAGTTTGGTCAGGTCAGCTTCCTCCATCTGAGGGCAACTCCCAGAGATGGGCTATGCCCTGAGCTGTCTGCTACCAATGCTCCTGGTAGCTGGAACCGTGAGGTCCTTGGTCCTGTGGGAGGAATCTGGGTAGCACGTCAGAGCGTCTATTATATACGATATCCTCAAATTCAAGAGGTGAGAATGTTTCAAGAAGGAGTGGCCAACTGTATGGAATATTTCTGAAAGGTGGGGTTAGAGAAAGATACTGATATGGCAGATGAAGGACATCGGTGATCTCAACCAGAGCAATTTCAGTGGAACTGGAAGGACACAAAGCCAAAGGAAGAGACCTAGAAGACAATGGAAGATGAGAAATGGAAACAGCAATACAGACAATTGTTGGGAGATTTTTATCAGTCAAGAGGAGCAGAGAGATTGGATGTTAAGTGGAGAGAGATGTGGGGTGAAGGGAGGTTTGTTATTTGTTCTAAGTTGGAAGATACTACAGCGTGTTTGTTTGCTGACAAACAAAATGACATGAATGATGGGGAAGATTGAGATGCAAGAGAGGGAGGGGGTTGTTGGAGGAGTCATGTCCTTGAGGAGCTGAGAAGGACTAGGGTGCAGGGCAAGATTGGAGGGGCTGGCCTTGGATAGAGGGAGGGGTACACCATCCAGAATAGTGACAGTGTTGGCCTTCAGGGAGATGACTTTACCTCCCTGCCCATATGTGACAAAAGAGGAGAGAGATATATCAATCCCAAAGGGGGCCGTCAGATTCTCTGTCCCTGGAATTGTAGCAGGGATTAAGTAACAGAGGTAGGTCTAGAAATGCCTGTTGAATGGTGATTTGAACCCAGGCGCTAACGACTGGCTGCTTTCCACCCATAATGTATTGAGGGAAGTGGAGAGAACACGAAGTAGATGTGTGCAGAGAAGAGAAATGAGACAGGCTTCCTGTGACTTTGCAAGTCCAACCCCTCCCTGAGGCCTGCCTGTAGACCTCTTATATGCCACCAAACACCCCTTTGTCTTTCCTACAAATGTCCCCTTCTTGCTAAATTTAGCTCCACTGAGATACTGATTTTTGCAAGGAGAATCTTATCTATGATATGGAGCATTGCCTGATTGACACGCAATTAGCGTCCGGCCAGACACCCAGAAGACACTGTTGATAGGGGCCGGCTACAGCAGAGAGAGCTGCCCTGCCACGTGGCTCAGGCCCTTTCCTAGAACTGTACCATGGATTTCGTACATGTTCCTTCTAGTGCCATTCCACTAATAAAAAGACTGGATGCAAGAAAATGTAAAACCTACGGAATAATTAAGATATATATAATCTATTCTTCAATGAATAGTATCTAGCCACTCACATGAATTCTTTGAGGACTAGCTAGAAACATAAAGCAAAATAGGACGTTGATTTTAATGCCCATTATAGCATTGCAAAAAAAATGCATTTGGGAAAAAGGTGGGCAAAATACACCAAAGTGGTAATAGTAGTCATGTGTTAGGTTAGTGGGAACATGTGTGTTTCCCCTTAATTTTTGCTATTTTAATTATAAAATGTGGCTATATTATGTAGACAATTTAAAATAACTCTTCCTCCTAATGCTCAGACCTGGGAGTTCGGGTGGTTTCCAGAGGGCCCCCAAGCCATCACAGATCATATGGCTATAAGGAAGGAAAGAGTCACTCAAGAAGTGGGGCCAGAAAAGGCCATCAGAGGAAGAGGTTGTTTGAATCAAAGGGGACATGGACCTCCTGCCCGGGGACATGAATTACAGTCCCTCAGCATAACCCAAGACAAGAACTGGGTGGCTACCAGAGCACAATCGGATCTCTCGGCCTGTTCCCATCGTAGGATACTGCCCTGAAATAGCTGTGAACTGGAAGAAAAGGCTCGCTGCGTCCTCCAGATGGGCACATGTGGCTGATTCCTCCGACCGGCACTGCCCCGCCCCCGGCCCCCTCTCACGCCTGTTCCCTGGGCCTCCCTCAGCATCAGCTCCTGAAAGCTCCAAGGGTTTTATTAGGAACCACACTGAGCACTGACCCTGAACTTCATCTTTGCTAAATTCTCCCAAATTAATTTAATGAGGATTCCCTTTGCCCCCCAGGGAGGTCAGTTTAAA